CCTTTCTCCCCTCTGAATGTAGGATGTTGCTGTAGATAAACAAATTTTACTCTCAACAAATTCTTTCCCTCATGGAGGCATTAAATGTATAGTTTAACTGATCCTGAAAAATTTCAGAATTTGGACTTGGCAGAATTTTTTTAAAATAAAACTGTGTAAGTATATTTTTTTCCTCTTTTTGCGACATCAGTGAGTCTTATCAAATTCTCTCTCTCTCTCTCTCTCTCTCTCTCTCTCTTTCTCTCTCTCTCTCACACACACAACACACACACACACACACGAAATAAGGCATTCAATTCAAGTAATTGGAGCTAGAAGCCATCGACATATTGCAGGGACTCATTAATAGAATATGAAATACTATTCAAAGGACTAGTGGCTAGGGGGTCAAGAGACGAGAATAAACATGCTGGAAGATCTGGTGTTCTTCATTATCCATCTATAATTCTGTTGAAAGCCTATTCTTTGAAATAGTAAATTTAGGAAGAATTAGGTAGGAATAAATTTCCTATTATCTATATCCCCTCTTCGAAATACAATATGAAATCAAGAAATGTTTCTTTGTTTGAAAGAGTATTATTCATCTAATACATTAACTCTATTAGAATCCAATGGAATTTCAAACTGAAAATATTTTGTTTTAAGTGGTTAAAAAGCCTTTGCAGAATTATCTAGAAAACAATTGATAAAGTTTGTTCCTCAACTCAACCTCTAGGGTCCACTTCTCCCTCATACTACTAGTGAGAAAGAAAATGTAAAGACTGCCGTTAAAGCAGCCAAGCCGACCTTCTATATCCATGTAAATTATTTCCCCTATGTGACGAATATGAATGAATTATTCTATTATTGCTTTCCCTGATAATAGTGGAGTCAATGCCATTAGTCAACAAGGTATTTTAACCTAATACTTTTAATGACTTAATCCAATAAATCAATTTAGAAAAAAGTTCCATAGGATTTTGAATCTGGAAAGATTAAACACAAGAATCAAATCTGGTAATAAATCTCACAAGGAACGTTACTCATAGAACATGTAGAATCATGGCGTATTGTTTGTTTTAATTTTTTTTTTGTGACCTCAGTCCATATATCTGTCTCTTCCATTTGTAGAATTTTTTCTTGCATCCAGGATTTAGGAATTTCTGTTCTTTTTGAAAACTACCAGATCTGATGCTTAAAATGAAGCAAGTGTCAACAGTTATTTTCTCTAGATAGAACAAATGCTAAAATATTCCTTTTAGGTAGTCTATGGGTTTTTTCTCACTCAATATAGTTATGAAATACCATAGACTTTGTGTGTTATCAATATCTTTACATGTGATTTGGTGAAAAATAGAAACTCTCTCTTATTTCCCTCCTGTTTCTGGGAAAAGGTTTGATGAATTAAATATTATTTTCATTTTTTAATTTATCATTTGTGTTGATGAACTAAAGTAGAAAATTTTATGAGTGCAAGATAATGACTTGTAAACTTGCAGGAAAAAAATTGAGTTTGATTTTCAATGTATAACAGTAAAATTAAAATTAAACAATATGGATTATTTACCCCAAGGTTGATTGACTAGGATTAGTCATCATGACTTGAAGAAAGAGCAATATGGGCAGGTGAAACATACGACTAATGGAGGTCAAAAAATTTCGCAAAAGATCAAAAAAATTATGGCGGAATTAGAAAATTATAATGAAAGCAACAAGAACCAACAAGCAAAACAAGTTCCTACTTTGAACAACACTTTGTGAAATGGTGCAGGAGAAGAGATCACTATGAGCTCGCAAAGGGTATGAGACACATACATGCCATTTTGTGGGATGTATACATGAGTCCACATCTGACATGTATCCTTCTCCAAGATCCAACAGTCACATCTACATGTACTCTTTTCCAACATTGAATATACTTATAAAGACATGTACTCGAAATGGCATGTATCAAATTTACATTTCTTTTATCTTATTAAATATGATATGCATATCTGATAATAGATAAATGCATATTTGTATGTCAATTAAGATCCATAATATTAAATTCTTGCAAGAATATTAGGGAATTGAAATCATGTGTGTGTGTAATACTTATTTAGGCAATATAAGGAAAAATTTTATTATAATTCTTATGCACTAATAACAGTTTTTAAGTCACATTAATTGGTGTTTTTATGTATTCTCACTGAATAACTATTCATTTAGTCTAAAATATTTTTACTATATTATTTGGTATTAATATTATTTTTTAAAAATTTTTGTGTTATATACAATTTTTGATGTCTCTTTTGTGTCCTTGTTCTAATCTTTTGAAAATTGCTGTTTTGCATCAGTGTTTTGTGGACACCATCACTTTATTCAAACAAGCACAAAAAAGGACATGTTCTGTGTTAGGCACAACACCGTTGAGAAGGACATGGAGATATGGCAATATCCAATTTCTTCTTCTCATTTTAGAAATTAGCCAAATCACACCTCTCCAAAACATGTAGGATAGTAACAGTTTCATGTTGTTGCAAATTGGCCTCTCCTTAAAATGTTCTCAAGGTAATACTTGATCCTAGATATGTCCATAATGTCCAAGTTTTAGACACGTGTCTTCTGAGTTTTAACCGAGTCAAAATTAAATAAGAAATAGGACATCATTTGATGCATGTCTAAATGGTGTTTTGCCATGTTTGACAATGTGTCTAACATTGACACTCCAACATTTTAGAATTGTTCGCACTTCATAAACTGTCCATGCTTTTTAGAACAAAGGGGCGAAATGTACTTGATAAAGAGCCTTCCCAAGCACTCGCTAAAGCCCCCTCCCATATTGCCATTCTTTTTCTAGGTTTCTTTCTCTCTCTCTCTCTCTGTGAAATATTGCCACCACTAATTTTCCAAGTTTTTTCAATGGGCAGGAGGTCCTGTGTAACCCATTCATGCCCCTTGATAAACAGCATCTAACATCCCTAATATACATTTAGCTTGCTATTACACTCATTATTCTCTAGGACTAGCTTTCAAAGGAGGCACAAACATATATGTGAAAACTGGACAACAAGCTGATTACCAGACATTAGTTTTTATTTATTGGTGTTGGTGAAATTAGGAATCTATGCCTATGCATTAATGGCTATATTACCTGAATAACCACATGCCCCCAACCTATATATTTATATGTATAGTATGAATATATGCAAAGATAGCAACTTTCTATTATCAATTTTCTTTTTCTCTCGTTTACTGCCTTAATATAATGTTGCAGTGTATGGTTTCTAGTTATCTCACCATCTCTACCTTGGCTGCATGTAAGGTGTTTGTATTATTGTTCCAATTAGATTTGTGTTTTTTATTTATTTATTTAAATTTTTAATTTTTTAATTTGATTTGTTTCTATCTTGAGTGACTAGTTTTATTGCTGATTAATAGATTTATGGCCTCTTTGATTCACTCCCCCCCCCCCCCCCCCCCCCCAATTGATCAACCCTTTTCAGCATAACTGTCTGTTCTACATTGTCTGAGACTAATTGTCATTTGTTGTGTGAAGTGTGGTCTGAAATGGCATGATGGAATATGGAGTGGGTTGCTATTAGTATGAACCCTTTTTGAAAGCGGCAAGGCAATTGGATGTTCCCATGCTGGGTGAACTTGTAGCAATCTTATACCCACTCCTTCACATTCCTCTACATGTGTATATACATGTTGGCTGCAAGCAAGAATATTATATATTATTTTTCTACCACCCTCAGATTAATGTTGGGAGGGTCTGATTGCCTTCTTTCACATTAAAACAAAACTTCAACCAACATATATAGGGAGAAAGGTTAGGAGTCTTGTGTGAAAGTTTATTATGTGCTGATTGCTAGATTGATGCAGAAAAGATAGGAAGAAATTTCTGCGATGCCATGAAGATGTAGTAGAGGGTTGCTAGAAAAAGAGAGAAGAAAAATGGGAAGTTGGCTATTAACACTGACATAAATAGTTATGATGAGACACTTGAGGTTACAATTTAATGTTGGAAAGACAAGTGAATTTCACATAGTAACATGGATCTAACTAGTGCATTACATTTGTCTAAATGTTAAGTTGGGTTTCATCTGTGAGAAAAAAAAAAAAAAAAAAAAAAAACCTATTGCTGGTTTTTTCTCTTTTCTCATCGTTTTATTCTTTCACTTATCTCTCAGCAACTATCTAATGTAACTTAATAAATTATACTTACCACATTTGGACAGAATGTTTGATACAAACAACCTGAAGGCCAGCAATCTAGTATATAGCCAGGTGCGCTGGTAATGCTGAATCTGTTTCCTGTCAGATCTGCAATTAAAGATGTTTTCACTTAATCCTAACCAGAATGGGTTTCCTATTCAGTTATGCCAATTTAATGGTTTTCTCTTTAAAACAATATTCCTAACTTTTTAAAACTTAATGCTTTTTGGTCATTTGATACCCATGTCGCCCCTGTCATAATAAATTTAGTGTCTTTTCTCTGAAGTTTACCTAGTAGAAGTTGATTATGTTGTTTTTCATATATGAATCATGTGTCTGCTTGCTGATTGATGAGGTTATATTAGTGCGAATATTTGACTAGCACTTGTGATGATTATAGACTCAGTTGTCAGAATGGATTAGGCAAGGTGCTATGACTGTAAACCTGCTTAATTCTAGTTTGAGACGTGCTTTTGAAAGAATGAAAAATCTGAGTTATTCAGCGGTCAGGGACTACAGATTCGATACTATTGTTTCATATTAATATGACATAAAACATGTTGAGAATTGGAAATGACATCTTAATGAGGTATTCTATATCATTATGCTGTTTCTGATGTTCAATTTTTGTTTCTGTTATATAATTTGGACGAAGTCAAAGTTGTGAAGCACCTTTCATTGCATGGTCACGAATCATGAATTCCATGTAAAACTGTTAATTAATATTTGAAATAAATGGCTTGACTCCTTGTTGTAGCTTTCATACTTACCCCATATGTATTTGGTGCACTTACAGGTTCCTATCGCTCCTTTGCATAGGAATGATGGCCGTCCTTTTTTCAGTCAGACATGGGATAATGAATCTCAGGGGGGTAGTTGGTCTTCCTGCTGAGAGAGGAATACCTACTTTGATAATGTGGAATTACGGTGGCAATGATGTTGCTGTGGAGGGATCTTGGGACAACTGGACATCAAGGTAAGCTTTAGTCATTCTGCATTAAGCATCTATTTTTAAAAATATATTGCACTTGATATGGCCATGCAGGGAAACTTTGAGACAATGTCCATTTGCAGGAAGAAGTTGCAAAGATCGGGAAAGGATTATTCAATTCTTTTGGTACTGCCATCAGGTATATACCATTACAAGTTCGTTGTGGATGGTGAATGGAGATATATTCCAGATATTCCTTTTGTAGCTGATGAGATGGGCCATGTTTATAATCTTCTTGATGTTCATGTAAGTAGTTTCATAAACTTGTAACATTTCTGAAATAAATATAAAGGGATTCACATTCAAGATTAGAGGAGGAATGCTACTCTAGTTGATTGGTTTTTGAAGACTTTAGATACATATATGATATTATCTCTTTCACAGTACATGTGGTTATACATATAGTTACACTTCAAAACTAGTATCTTTTGGAGGGATATTTTAAAGTTCTTGGATGTAAAAATCATTCCAAATGATATTTTCTTGTTTGATGGAGTACGGTGCAAGGAAATCTAGTGGAAGATATGGCTTTTGGAAATGCCTTTCTAAATGCATTTCCAGAGGTGGTATCTTACTGTTCAAATGTACATTTTGCCTCAGATTTTAAATAAATATTAATCAATTTCCAATAAGTCTTGTTGGCTAAGGGCTTTCACTTGTTGGAAGTTGGACCAAACTAGCCTTTAGTAATCACTTTAGGATGTTATGGAGCAGTTCCCTTTTTTGTAGGTTTAGCTGATCTTTTTTGATTCCTACTTTCATTTTTTATTTTATTTTATAGTCTGATGTTAAAAATCATAACCTGATACAATGCTGTGGGTACAGTTTCTGTATACTCCTGCATATGTGGCTGTAGTTTGCATATTATTGCTATCAGTTCTTGCTATTACTGCATCTGTCTTCTTGCAAATGGTTCCTGCTAAATGTTGTTCCATCTTAGCCATTTATTTTATGATGGATGTTATTTGTCTCTCAGGCTTTCACCCATTTGTAGAAATATGTATTTAAATAGATTGGGAATATACAATAAAAGTTTATCATTAGAAATATTTTCATTTATTTTCTTTCCTTATTTGTATATTCTCTTTTTTTTATTTGCATACTCCTCAATATTATAAGTACAGATTTAGATGACAGTGTTTACATACTGACTCATTCACACATATTAGGATTTTTATGGTTCTCTTTCAACATGGTACCGGAGCCTAGTTTTGAAACCCTAATATACTAAATTTTTTCATTGCTATTCACACAACTGTTGTCCCAAAGAATTCTTTAGGCTGTCTTTCTTTGTCATGCACCCATCACTGTGATCTGACCTAGAGTATTGCCGTCCGATCAAGAACCTGTCGGAATAGTATTGCCGTGGGAGTTGCCACGCGCCACCATCTTAACATTTTTTTTCCGACGTGCGTGATTGCATGTGCCACCTCTTTTCCAACTGTTTTCTTCTCCGCCGGTAGCACCTTAGTACCTCAAGCTAGATCCAAGATATGATCTGTCCTACGGTTGCTAGATCCAATGCAGATCTTACCCATCGGCTTTCAGATGGGGAAGATCTCATTCGTTCATATAGGTCTTGGTTGTTGGACCTCCAATCCTGTTTGTCGACCATCGTCACACTCCGATCTTGTTTGTCAGTCCTCGTCATCACAAGTTGAAGTCCGATTTGGCTCTCCATCACTGTCGAAGTCAGATTTGGTTTTTTCGGCTTCTACTTCAGTGTGCGATTTCGACTGCAGTACATGATGCAACCTTTGCTTCCATATGTGGTTTCAGTACGCAACTTCTACTTAACTACGCAACTCTAATGTGCGCCTTCTGTTTTTGAGTACCAGAAGTTGTCAAATCTGTGAACTTGCTTTCTTTGTTTGACATATTTACTGTTCTTTATCATGTCTGTCTCATCTTCTTTTGGCAAGTCTATTATTTTTAGCTCATTAATTTCAAGTCTTACAGTTATTACTACTGAGCCCCTTACTGGTGCAAATTATGTGCATTAGGTCTGTGCTGTTGAACTTTGGTCTAAAGGCCAACGCTATTCTAATCACTTGACTAAGAAAGCTTCCAATATTCTCGCCAATGATATGGATAATTGGGAAGCAATTGATGCTCAGTTGTGTAGTCTATTATGGAATACTATTGATCGTCTGTTGATTGATCTTTTTCTCCCCTACCACACTTGCTATGAAGTATGGGAGAAAGTCAAATTACTCTATAGAAATGATAACCAGCAGTTTTATGAGGTTGTATCTGACATAATTAATATTGGAAAACAAGATCAGCTCATGTCTACTTATTTGAGACATATCCTAAATGTTCAGTCAAAGTTTACTAAGCTCCTTCTGTCACTTTTGATACTGCTAATCAAGAATCCAATTATGATAAGTTTTTCACGTTTTTCTTACATTGGTGGGTTTACCTTCTGAATTTGACTCTGTTCGTCAACAAATATTAATGAGTTCTTCCATTCCTACTTACATTGGTGGGTTTACCTTCAGAATTTGATTTTGTTTGTTAACAAATAGTAGCGAGTTCTTCCATTCCTTCTATGGAATATGTTTTTGCTTGACTACTCCAGCTTACTTGGCCTATATTTACTTCAACTGCTCCTGTTGGTGACTTTTCTGTCTTGGCTTCCCAGTCTAATCCTCCTCCTATTGGTTTTGGCCATCAAGGATGTAGTAAAGGCCAGCGTCCTCACTATACTTATTGTCACAAGATGGGCTACACTCATGATCGCTGCTACAAATTACATGGCAGACCACTTCGTGCTGCCAATATTGCTCACTCAAAAGTTTCTTCTGTGACTAAGATACCCACAGTTATCATTCTTGCTGCTGCCTATGAGAGTTATTTAGCGTATCAAGCTACTCAGTCGTTAGCCTCTACCTCTTCTCAGTAATCTACCTCTATTGCTTAGAGCGGTAATTTTGTTGCTTGTCTCACTCATTCCTCTTTTTGTCCCTGGATTTTGGACTCGGGTGCTTCTAATCATATTTCTAGTAATATTAATCTTTTTTCTAATCTTAGTAGTCCATGTTCTCTTCTTGTAGTTATTTAACTAATGGTTTAAAAACAATGTCTAGAGGTTTGGGTCAAATTCGTTCTCTCCTTAACTCTTAATTCTGTTCTTTATATCTCTAGCTGTCCTTTTAATCTTATCTCTATTAGTAATTAAAAAGTTCCCTAAATTGTTATGTTGTTTTTAGTCACAACTCTGTTCTTCTACAGGACTAGGATATGGGACAGACGATTGGCGAAGGGCATGAATCTCAAGGGTTATACCACCTTACACTGCTGCCATCTCATGTTGCCTTCACATTCGCTGTTTTCACCTTCCATTTTCCACAATTAGTTAGATCATCCTAGCATCTCCAAACTCTAGAAGATGGTTCCTAGTTGTTATCTTTCAAGTCTTTAGAGTATGAGTCGTGTCAACTTGGTAAACATGTCTGAAGTTCCCAAGCGAGTCAATAATCGAGCAGCGTCCCCTTTTGAGTTAATCCATATTGATATCTTGGGTCCTAGTCGTGTTTTCTACAGTTTTTGGTTATCAATATGTTGTGACATTTATTAATGATTTTTTTAAATGTACTTGGTTGTTTTTAATAAAGTTGTGTTGAGATTTTTTTCCATTTTTCAATCTTTTTGTGCTGAAATTTGTAATTAATATCATCCTTTATTCGCACTTCATGAAGTGATAATGTGCATGAATACTTTTCTTCTTCTTTCACTTCTTTTATGTCTTCACAGGGTGTGCTTGACCAATCTTCTTGTGCTCACACACCTCAGCAAAATAGTGTCGTTGAACGTAAGAATTGACACTTAATTAAAACATCACGCACTTTATTTCTCTATAATCATGTTCTTTTTTGTTTTTTAGGGCGATGCTGTCCTTACTATCTATTACTTAAATCAATGGTATGCCTTCTTCTACTCTACAAAATCACACCACCATGTTTTGTTGTTTCCATCTGCTCCATTATATTCTATTTCTCCTCGTATTTTTGGTTGTATTTGTTTTGTTTATAGTCTAACCTTTAGATAGGACAAACTTCAACCTAAATCTCTCAAATGCATTTTCCTTGGCTACTCTTGTCATCTTCATAAAGGCTATTGATGTTATCATCCCGATAATCATCATTACATAATCTCTATTGATGTCACTTTCTTTGAGGAGTCTTGTTCTACTTTTCTTCTATTGAAAGTTCATCTGTATTATGCGCTCTTTTAGTTCCTTTACTTGGACCACCTGCTGAGACTGCTCTGTCTCGTCCAAAGTTATTTATGGCACATAGTGCACCCTTGTGCAAGGTTCCATGGCAACATAGCGCATTGCAAATAGAGCTGTGCATGGCTATTTGGAAAAATAGTGCACATTATATAAGAACAATATATAGCTAAAATATGTAAGAAAAATGATCTAAATAAATATTAAAAGCTTAATTAGTACTCAAAATACAAGTCATCCAACAATCATCCAAATATGTCAAACATAAAATGACTATTAAACTAAGTCTAAAACATAAAGTGACATCAAAACAAAGTGTAAAACATAAAAATATGATCCAATAAAGTCTAAAATATAAAAAAGACCATCTAAAGCATCAATGTCATCCAATCCCTCAATCCCCATCTTCAATGCCTGAACTAGCTATCTCTTTCTCATCATCAAGGAGGAGAGGAGACTAGACTCCGGACAAAGAATTGAGGCCCAATTGAGACAACTCCTATTATAGACAACAAACAAAAATGAAGGGGAAAAAATTATAGAATCAATTATTTAACATTACCAAGATAGAAAATGGTTAATTGGCATGTGTAGACACTTTAAGTGGGGGTAAAGCCAAGTTTTACTTCTTATAATAAAAGAAAAAAAAAAAGAAGAAATATCGATATTTTAAAAAGTTAAGATCATTTATTCTATAAATTTTTCTTTTAGCACTTGCATAAGTAAGAGTCATCGCTGGAGAGTCAAATTTCAAGCCAACTTGACTCACTTGAGACCAAGCTCGATTGCGACAAAGAGTAAAGAAGTCGAGGCTCTAGATAGAGAGGAGAGGACTCAACGCAACTCCGAGAAGGGATTCTGGGACCAGGCTTGATTGCGACATAGAGCAAAGGAGAATCAGCACATAGAGCAAGGAGAAGTCGAGCCTCAATTGCGACTCTAAGAAGGGATTCTAGTGCTTTATAACTTATGCGACGCGATCATGAGTCGAGCTCGAGAAGATGAGAGTTGA